TCCGGCCAGAGAGCATGAAATAGGGGACGGAGCTGCAGGCCGGTCAACGCTGCAGTTCCAAACGCTAGAAAAAATATTACCACAGAGGCAACAGAGTGGATACAACCACCTCCCCCTGTGGATAGATTTAAAATAGAAATATGTTCTACACAACCGTTTGTAGCACTGCTGGGGAAAATGCGTTAACTGAGACAGAAGTTGCAATATTTTATTCAAAGGGAAAAGACATAAATGAAGCCTCTGATATCTGTACATATTTTTATTTAAACATTTTGCAGAACATTCTTACTGGAACTTAATGATTGGATTATCAATGCAAAATAAATAAGATTATTTCTATGGTATTAGCATAGCAGCAATATTCAATGTTGCATTTAATGTAATGCATCTCTGGGTTGCATGCCAATCATTTCTTTAACTTTTAAACACATATTTACCCAAAGTTTTAGCTTCTATTTTCCCTTTTTTCTTTACTGACTTAAAAAATCTTTATTTAAAGAAAATTCAAAACTATATTTGTTTCATTTAATGAGTTGAAAACCTCAAATAACCTCAAAGATATCCTAATGTTTTATGATTCACCTGCGTGTCTGTATTTTATGACCTTAGCTCCTATTTACAGAAAAAGGAAAACAAATTGGAGATATTTCAGAAAATATTTACACCAATCAGAAACGGCTGAATTCCTTTGTGGAAAAAACAAAACAACCAAAAGAAGGTTTTTATGTTTTTTTTTTCCCTCCTCTCACATTTACCTCATGGCCACGAAGCATTTACTTTTATTTTATTACTTTTGAATCCTTTGAAGGACCGACAGCCTAAATAACCAAAGTGTTCTTTTATTCTTTAACCTCGTCCCTGCCCCTAATTTGTTTTTCTTTCCAAATGACCCCCAAAATCGAAAACAAATATTATAAAAGGCATCAAAATAACATGTAAGTTCAAGCTCCAGCTCCATCCTGCTGAACATAAAATTTATGTTTATGGATTTTATTTTATTTTTAAAGAAAAGCAAAAGTTTTAGTAATTTTTTTTAATCTTTTAAGTGTTTTAATAAAAAAAAAAAAAGCAAATTTTGCTTTAGATATAGATGTATAACAAGAGCATATCAAATGGGATGCTTTTTTTAAGATACGTATAGGATGGTGAAGGGAGGAAGATGCAGGCTTTGAGTTCTAAAAAAAGTGCCAGCAATAATGTTAGAGCTTAAATCTACAGCAGACAGAGGATTAAAGTGAGTGAAGTATGGCTCAGATGAAGGATCAGCATTTCTTTTTTTTTTTTTCCTTCGGAAAATGGTAATGCTTGAGGGCAACTCTTGAGGTGTTGTTTACTGCCCCCGAATCTGCAGCTTCAGCAGCCAAATTAGCTGAAATAAACCTTCAAAAGGGTGAGACAGAAAACAGTAGCCTGTGGCAATGAAAAAAGATATTGATCCAGTTTTGAAGTTGCAAATCCCACGTTGCTCCATTTTGTGAGAAAGCGAAGAGTTTTAATTAGAGCTCCCTTTGCCACCAGGTTCTCTGTCTGTGTCTCTCAGAGCCTGGGATCGCTGCCAGGCTCTATTGTCTGAAGCCTCGGCTGCAGGTCGAGAACAAAGTCGCAGACGTGAGAGTCATTTTGGTTGAGACTTCCACCGCTGCTAGAGGAGAATTCAGGTGCTGTTATGCAGCACAAAGCATACACTGGGTCCATAATGAACTTTTAACAGAGGTTTTTCTGAATTAACTCGAACATAGCCGATGTGACTAACAAAACAATAACATTTGTGGCTTTTGGAATATTTTGTCAATCTTTTTCCCTCATATCTGTTTTTGATCATTTTTACACTTGCTATAAACCGTATCATCATTTTCTCTGATTACTTTGCATAAAGTGTCATATTTAGATCCCGAAGTGTTGGTAATTTCATCTCTATTGTTGCTTTCCTTACCAGTTACAAACAATGTTTTTGAGACTGTGACAATGTGCCAAAGGGACTCTTTTGTAATTCTGTATACTTTAAGCCTAAAGCCTCATGTTCCAGGGTTAATTATATTGAACTCTTCTCCTTTCAAAAAAGAAATCCACTGATGGTTGCAAATTAAACCATGTTAGGTAAAGCACTTATAGGATTTCTCCTTGAATTGTCAAGGCTGCATACATTTTGACCTTTTGTAGTTCTTGTTTTGTGCATTAATAATGGCTGTAAAGCTTTAGTTTGGACCTTGAAATTTACAGCGAGTCCTCTGGGGTTGGCATTCAAAAGGAGATACTGCCTCCTCCTGTCTTGTCGAGGAGTCAAACACAGAGGTCACCTTTTTGTCAAATAAGTAATCTGTGAGAGGAAGGGTTATCAGTATTCAGGAAGTTCATGGAAAGTTCTGCACCACTGACCCTTGCCTCCTTTCAGAGTTAATTCATTTAAAGGAACTTTACAGGACAAACAAGCAAAAATCTAACTAAGGATAATCTAATTTGTTCTTAATTAAATTCAGTCCAGATTATTCTAATAAGATTGAAACATGTGGTCAGCTTCAGATTTAAAACATGCAAAATGAACCGTATTTGTTTTAGCATTTAACAATAACGAAGTGCTGCACAGAAACAAGTTGCAAATGATTTTATGGTGCTATATTAATCTTTTTATTTTTGTGTGGATGCTATTTTAATTTTTGTTTATTATTGCCCTGATTTGAGCCATTTGTTGCTTTTAAGATGCTATGTAAATAAATATAGTATGGTATGAATGTCATCAGCAAAGCATTAAATCTATTTCCTTAAAATAAAAGGGGTAGCATATTTAGGAACATTTAGTTTAAAGTCTACCACTCAGATTTAAAGCATCAGAAAAGCAGGCATTCCTATATTAGCATCAATTAAAGGGTAATAAAAGTCTTAGAAAGAGATGCAGTTTTACAAACAAGGGCTAAGCCATGAGAACTTTTGATAGAGAACATAAACCCAGTATACAAATTTAAAAGCGGCAATAGTTCATTCATTGCCTCTGTTTCAGTGGGGCACCCAGGAATACTTTCCATAACGAATTTTTTGCCCTTTTCAGGAAATTTTCCAGTCGTGCAAGAATTCTTTGGATAGTAACAGTCGCGCTTACTATTTCACAGTCAGTTGCGCTCATTGGTCAGAGCGTTGGCCAATAGGCACAGACATGGTTTGAAAAACAACGAGTTGTTCTCATCAACAATCTTCCGATGTCTCATTTATCGGGGCGAGACTAAATTACACATTTAATCTCACATTTAGTCTGGTTTATCAGGCTAAGAGTTATGAGCATCTATGAGCCAATTTAGCAGAACCCCATGCACTGCACTTATGTAAACAAGGGAGTTCTTCTTCTTTCAGATTGACAAGGCCGACCTGCGCGATCTCGCAACACAGATCGTTGGGCCATACAGTCTAAAAACATACATCCTGAGCTTTGAAATTTTTAAACCCTGCAATTACATCCTAGAGTTTGATCTTTAGCTGAGTACAAAGATTGAACATATCGTGCAGTTTATGTGCCTGGCCTAAAATGATAAAACAGACTTAATGACAGCAAAGATGTATAGAGTAGTAAGAAAAAATTGTGAATAAAAAAGGTCAGCCTGTTTTCTAGTGTCTTAAGCCTATAGCAGCATACAGAGAAAAGCTATTGTAAGCATGTCGGACTTAAATTTTTATCTGAACAGGTAGGACCATTCTATCTGGAATCAGTGATTACTTATAGCCATGCCTGACCTCCAGCCGTCCTCTCCGATTCTGTTCAGTTTGTTCTACTCCAAGATCACATAAGCCTCCAGCTCTTTTCATTCATCCCCTATGGGGGAAGCACCTTAATGTTCTGCCTTAATTTTTTTATTTCATTATTTCAATTCTTTGCAAACGCTGCTGCCTGCTGTTGAAACCGGTGTGTTTTCCTTACTGTAAAAGTAACATTTCTGCCCCACATAAACCTGTGTTTAGCTGCAAGCTGTGAAACGCGAGGCACCAAAAGGATTGGGTCTGAAACATCAGTATGTTAATGATGCTCTGTGGAGCAGTGGAGTTGGAAAATGTAAACTACATCTCCCCTGCAGAGATGCGTATGGCTGCCACAAAAATGCTGAATGAAGATACAAGGCCTAAGGGTACACAGAGCAGAGCATATGGGTTCTTTTATACAGTGTGAAACACCAAAAGCTTTATTGGATTTTAAAACAAATCAGAAGACCTCAATTCCTAAGAAAAAAGATTTTCGGATCGTTGCAAATCTCCTTTTTCCTTATTTATTCAAGTTTTTGAACCTTTAATCCCAAATAGCGGAAACTTTGTAAAGCAGAAATTGATTTGTTTTGGAGGAGATTTTGTGGGATTCACGCTAATATTCAAGATTATTCCAGGCTCCACTGAGAATCGCGGATTAGTTTGGAAACTCTCCAGCTCTGCTCCAAAAGAATTCATTGACCTTGGAGTTATTCTGAGAAAGTTTTGGACTGAGCCTGCTCCCCAGCTTTTCTCTGTTTTCACTCTTTCAGTGCTGCTGTAGCCTTTTTGTAAAATATAGGGGTGTTGCACAGTGAGGGGCTGACCTTCAGCCCTGGTTCTGCAGGAACCTGACCAAAAGGCTTGTCCTTCAGCAGCACAGTGACTCCCTGCTGGCTCCAGCTGCGCTGCTCTTCAGCTGACTCTGACATCAGAATTTTTATCATGTTATAGAAAAACATGTATTGTAAACTTTTAGACTTGTTGGGCTTCTTTAAGGTGTCTCGGATCTTAGATCTTTTTAGATTTCTCAGGAATGGTTTTCAATAATAAAGATTATTCATTTTAACCCTAAAGATTACAATTAGTAAAACTCGGATATAACCTCTAAAACTTTAAATTAAGGGTAAACTAAGAGGTTTTTACCTCCCAACCTATAGTCCAGAATAGAATGAGAAGTTGTATTAGAGGTGTTGATGTGCAGTCCAAAGGGAAATTGCTAACAGGTGCATTGTTCTTGTGTTTTGTGTCTCTCCGTGTGTGCTTCCCTGCCTTAGCAGAATCCCTGTTCAGCGGCATGGGGCTTGGAGCAGTGGTGGGCCTCGGCCTGGGAGCGCTTCTCCTCCTCCTGGTGCTGGTGGATGTCAGCTGCTTCTTCCTGCGTCACTGCGGCCTGCTCATGTGCATCACGCGCACGCTCTGCAGCAAGAAAACGGCCACCAGTGGCAAGGGCAAAGAAATGGAGGAGGGCAAGGCAGCTTACCTGTGAGTACCAACTTCCCTGTCTTGCTTATTATTTTTTTTGGTTGTTTTCCCTGTTGAAATCTTGGAACAATTATTTGGATTATCGGGGTCAATGTTTGCAAGTCACCAGGTCCTTCATGCTTGAACATCTGCTGTGGGTGTATCAACAAACGTAAAGACCTGAAGGAATGAATGCAAATCTGTAGAAACTCTTCAAGCAGCTTCCTATCTTGGGCACTAATGCTCAAGGAAAATCTACACTCAGTTTAATCAAGTGTCTATATTCATCCCTTATTTGCTACGAATGAGCAAAGGAGACTTTTTTTTTACCGTTTACTGTAGGTACACCTACAACAGCCGCCCAACCACCCTATCAACCACAGTATGTCTCTGATTATGTCTTTCTCACTAACGTCTGTGCCTTTCATACAATGTGCCGTGAGTCCTCTTTCCACATTTGCATGCTCTCTGTGTCTGCATGCCCATAATCCAAGTGTGGTGCTGTTTCAGTTGTCTGGAGCTCACTCTTTACTTTTAGTGCTTCTGTGTTTTGTTATGCTTGCAATGCAAATGTAGTAGACGAGATATTCGCTGCATGAGCTGTTTGTGTAAGTGAGCACGCACTCTTGCGTTGCTTTTTCCTCACAGCATGCAGCCTAGAAGCCCAGCCCTCCTTTAAGTCACAACTCAATCGATTTCCAGATTCATACCCTGCTTATTTGCACGGGAGGCACCGGACAAATCGAGGCTCTCCCAGATGGCGCCGACGGTGTTGGATTCATTGGCCTCAGCAGAACCGCCCTGGGTTTTTTTGTTTTTAAGCTGCCAGTGTGAGAGGAGAAGGAGCAGGGAGGGGGCTTTGACTTTTGCTGAGTCACAAAGTGACAGGCTGCTCAGACTGCATGCAGAAAGCGTGTCGGTGTGACAGCAGAGCAATGCTAAGCACTCCATAGAAGCTGGCATGGTGCTGTTTGTTTAGCAAGGCACAGCTGCAGGTAGATCAATAGCAACTCTAAACCCGAATGATAAATCCTATCTTACTAACCGTTGTGTTGAGTAACATTGTTGTAGCCACATTTTGTGTAAAAAGTTGACATTTTTTCTGTTATATGTTCTTTTTCTATGGTGTTGTAAACCTCTAATAAGCCTCTCTGTACGACTTTAGTATTTCTGCTGATTCTGTCCAGTTTTATTGATGCCTGTTAGAAATGTGACATTCAGACTTTTGAACTCAGGCTTTAAGTGTTGCAGAACCACTTATGAAATATACAGTAGGAGGCTTCTCTTCTATAGGGCCAGCAAATAACCTCACAGAAAGATGTGACCTGATATTTATTAAACTAGTGGTTTTAGAGAAAGTGTAAACCTTCACAGGCTGAATATCCCTGTTATTATTAGTTACAAAAAAAAAGACCCACCAGCACACTGAGCTGCCTAAGAAGGTGATGCAGCATCTAACATCAGAAAGACAACTTCTTCTACACTATGAGCCTTCGGACTGCTCTGCCTTGTTTCTGGATCAACTGGATTTAATTTACCTCCTTTTCATCTGTGAGAGTTTTCTTTATCTGGATGGATGGATGGATGGATGGATGGATGGATGGATGGATGGATGGATGGATGGATGGATGGATGGATGGATGGATGGATGGATGGATGGATGGATGGATGGATGGATGGATGGATGGATGGATGGATGGACAAACAAACGTGATTAGTTTCTTATCCATCCTTCTGACTGGGGTGGACTGACCACAGGACTTTCAGATGAATGTTAAATTGTGCAAACAGGACATATTAAGTTCATTGGAATCTCAACCTCATCGCTCTCCAAATTTAAGGTGGAAATAAATTGGTTAATCAGTTGTTACTGCAGTACCTCTCAGTTGGCTTCGCTGCAGCGAATATAAACCTGCATTGAAGGCAGCAGAAATCTGATCTCTACAACAGATAAAGAGCCAAACTGTTTCAGCGTCTTATAAAAGTGCTCAAGGTAAAACTATCTCTATTTTGAAAAACCCAGATACTATTATTATTGTTACTGTCCAACAATGGTAATAATATTAAAGATATAGAGGACAATCTTTAATTTCCGAGTGAATCATCTAAATAAGTGGTCCTCCTTATTGTCAATCATTCTGGTAATATGTTTACGTAAGGCCGTCCGAGCTCACCCAGTTACGTGTCTCTTTATCTGTGCACGCACCTTTCAAGCGTATATGTGTGAGGAGCTACAGTTTCAGACAGTCATTGAAGCTCACCTTTCTCACCGCAGTTCTTTGGAAATGGCTAAGGGTCGTAAAAGAAAAACTGTCTATGAAGTGTATGAGAAGAAAAGAAAGGCCTCACAAGAAGCCGATATATCCCAGAATGCTTTGTGCGAAGAGCTCTCCTCACAAAACATTGTGGGATTTGCTGTCACAGAGACCCGCTGTCACCATAGACTATCGCTATCTGACAGCTACGACTGATAGCAAAGATGGCCTCCACAATACCTTTAACATAGGCATTATCAAATTATGGTTAAAATTAGGGATGCACGATATTGGGATTTTGGCCAATATCCGATATGCCGATATTTCAAAACTCATGTAGCTGATAACCGATATCGATTCTGATGTTAAAGCTGGACAAAAATAAGTAGTCATTGAAAATAGCAGTTTTGTTATCCATTTCTGACACTTTGAAAAATAATATACTGAAATATATTTTCATATGCTGATATCAAAACACGGCATCGATCTATTTTACTTTCAAAATCTTGTGAAATTTCATCGTTCTGTTACAAACTCTCGTGATATTTTGTAAATTCTTGTGAGATTTTGTTAGTAAAATAGATCGATACCGCGTCAATATATCAACATATAAAAATATGGCAAAATTTCGTGAATTTTCGGGGGATTTCATAGCATAACGATGACATATAGCAATATTTCATTAGTAAAAGAGATTAATATGGTGTTTTTTAAATGGCAATATATCAGCATATGAAGATATTGAGATATTTTAATGTATCAATATTTTTTCCCTCGTCTTTAGAAGTTTTTAAGTCTTCCTCAAAAAAATAAGTTTTTGAGGAAGAAGAAGTAGTAGTATTTTTATTTTTTAGACTTTAGAATCTCAGAAGCTGATCAAATATCGGGTTAAATATCGGTGGGGTGGCCGATGTCCGATATTCAGTTTTAAGGCCGATAGGGGGCCGATTATATCGTGCATCCCTAGTTAAAATATGTGGAAATTACAAATGATGAGGGTGCAGCTTGACCAACATGAGACTGTAGAGGTTTCTGAATCTTTTCACCTGGATAAAAAATGGCTGACGCTAAACTAGTAATGTTTAGGTTGTCGATTGGTTCATTATCTCGGGCATCAGAATAAGAGCAGATTTTAGCAAAAATCCAGAGATTTATAAGAGATTTGGCTCTCATTTGTGTTCCTGTTTTAGTACACTTTGGTGGCAGATTCATCTCCAGTTTGTCAAATTCAGGTTTTTATCGTTCCTGGCCCTTAAGTGGGCTCTTGGCCCTGAAGTTTAGTGCTGAATTCTACATAAAAAAAAACATCCATGCTAAAAAAACAAAGCAGTATCTGCTGAACAAAGCTGACTGCATAATAGAGGGGTTCTGCTGATGTATGTTAGCTCAGGTTGAAGGATTTAGGGCAGACATGTTTGACTTTGAGGAAACCAGACATGTCTCTATGCATACCTGAGGACTACTAATGAGAAAAACGAAGCAAAACAAAAAAAACAAACCCACTCAGTAGCTGAAGCTACTGACAGGCATTTAAATTGGAAAAAAAATGAGGGCCGCTTTTCTGTTAGAAATTATTTACTCACTGATTAGTTCTCCTTAAATCCTGTCAAAGGAACTGCTGCATCTTTGTTGACGACAAATTTAAAGTATTTTATTTGATTGCATTTTCTAAAGCATTTGCAATTTAATTTTGAGGTTTACAGCAGATGTTTTTTTTCCCCCTCTGGATTTTTTTCTTCTATGAAGGCAAAATCCTTGTTTTATTACAGGAATACAGAGAAGCTGGATTTGGCCAGACTTTATAATGTTAAGACAGTTAGCGGTATTAATTTAAAACTCTTAAGCTGCTAAACCTCAAAGCCAACTAGCCAGCTTTGGATTGAGCACACCTGACTTTGTCAGGGTTAGAACTGTAGAGAGACATGTTAAATAAGAATACTCCATCATATATTCAGCTCTTCATTAGAAAACATTTACTCGGCTAACTGACTAGGTAAAGACCAAAAATTTACCTTTTTTTACCTAATAAACAAAAGGTGGAAGCAAAGATTTTTTTTCTAGCTGAGTAAGTAATTAGAACATCCTACAATGACTAGAGGTGCACATTATATGGAATTGTAATCACCCCCACAATATTATATAATTGATAATGACAGTCATACAAGAACAGCAGGATGCTTTATTTGAAGGGATACAATCGTTAAAAGGGTCACAGAATCATGAGATGAATAGCCAGTTATATATTCAGCGAATTGTATGAATTGACCCTAATACTCAAAACTGATGTAGGTTTTTAGTGGCTAAAAACTCCAGAATTGATGGATACATTCTGAAAGGCTAGAAAAAAGACAAAAGTGTTAGAATATTGATAAATATAAACATGTCAAGTATTGCAATTACACCATTTTTCTCATCTTGTGCAGAACTATCCATTTCTTTACTGTCAGTGATACGTCTTCGGTAGATTTCTGCTTTTTTAAGCCGTTAACACCTAATACAGTAATATCATGTTTGATATATGAGTTTTTGAGACCTCTACATCATTAATGTGATATTTTTGTTTTTGAAAACCCTGATTCACACAATCAGATGCATGGGCTGAACAGAAAATCTATAATAATTTTCATTGCAATGACTGATGTATCACAAATGATAGAAGTAATTGATCTAAATATTCAAATTTTATTATTTTTTTTAATTAATATCAAATATCTATATATTCAAATACATAAAGAAATGCTTTCCTGGCATGCCCTAAGTTTGGCTCTAATAAAACAGGAAGTAGGCTAATCTCTTTGTGAAAAGAATGAGCCTTTTAAACCTCGGGTAAGAACCTGGATCATACCTGAAATAATAAGTGAGCTGGTAAAGAAAAACAGCGTAAACAAAACATGAGCCTTTCTGCAGCTTGGGAGCCACTTTGTTTAACTGTGAGAAACAGGCGCTGTAGTCTGCCTTTGTGTCCTGCAGTCGATGGCCGTGTGCTTAATTACCGTCGCATGAGGAAAAAACAAGCTACCCCCGATTGTGCTTTGGTGTCAATAACAAGCTTAGAGATTAGAAACATACATGTGCATAAGTATTATTATTCCTGGCCGGCCTGCCACATGGAGCACAGTGCTGCTGC